ACCATTTGCCTTTTACGACTAATGGAATCTATTTCGCCAGATATTTGAGACTGAGTATTTTCTGGTGTTTACGTTTCATATGTACATGCCAGTTAGTTTTAATCGACAAGCCATGAGCTTCAAGTGTCGATTACTTCACATGGTATCCCCGTGTGCCATTTATAACCAGTATACGTCTCTGGAACCAATAATGGTTGATGACCCGGCACTTACAACGATGACTGTGTTACTAAACCTTATGGTTAGATGTGAACCATTGCTCACAAAGAAACAACAACTAACGACCGGTACCTAATATTAAATATTTAACGCCGGGTTTTATGTATCGTTTTATTTAGCTTGGTATCGATTTACCACGAAAGACATATATGGATCTACTGATTTGTAGACCAGTGACAATTCTTCTAATGACAATTCGGAGTGCGGTCAATAAAGACGTGATGATCCGAGTCAGAATTGGCCTGCAGTATCCTACACTGGTGAGAATCGATGAATGGTATTGGTGGTCAGAATCGTTGAGTTGGTTGATGTATGTCATCGTATCCCAGTTGAGTTGATCGATACTTATGATGTCAATCACCAGATTTAGACGTCTCATCCAGGCTCGACCATTCAGAGCTGGAATATTGCTGTGTGCGGCGTTAAGCAACAACCTAACAAATACAATTAGCGATGCAATCATAAGAAATCGAGTTATTCGTATTTCGTGACATGCGGAGTGAACATCGTTGAGTAATCTACCGGAACTGTAATTACAACGTCTTAAACGACATATTGGGGTGAGGAAGTGCAACGTCGCGGCTTTTCGATTGGTAAAGATGTTTAGTATCAAATGATTGTTTGCTTGGATTCCAAGCAAGAGGCCGTGATTGGAGATCGAAAATGTTGATGGTAAAAAAAGCCTTATTCACGGTTCAGTGAACAGTTTCAACCTTTAGCGTAATACATCATGTCGTCAATGATGTAAGTGACTTGAGGAACATGGTTACCTGACCGCCGTAGCTAACTGAAGTGATTCATGTCAAATGCCGTTTTAATGTATCACAACATCAGATATAGCTTCAGACAGACAGATATTGTTGTCCTCAATAACCTGGCGACACACGTGTTCCAGTTGACTAAAACTAATCTTGGAAATGGAAGAAAATTACATAATGACCAAGCGATTCATGTAATTATTACTTTGAAGGCAAATGCGACGGGAAAACATGCACAATATTATATTACGAAGTCAAACGGTGTGGTAATAGCGGTTACCGGAAGCCTCTGTCAACTGAAACCTATTTACGCTTAGAGAATATCGTATTTGTACTATTGTAAGTGCGTAGAAATGTTACTGCTACGATTAAAGGTACAGGAGCAATAGTCTAATAAATATAGTAATTTATATGAATAATACGGTTTCCATTGAGTAAATATTCATATGGTGGTCATGTGGTTAAATTCTTTGCTTTTCGCCCCTTCTGCCATTTCGGTTTCCCTGTCCTGTTACACCCTTCTGTGATAGTCCTGGAATATGTTAACACAAAGTAACTCGTAGTCACTACTGGGAATTCCCGTATTTAGGCCCCGGGCTTAAATACGGGAAATCACTGTTCTAGTGATAAAAATATTTTAACCATATTTAAGCCCAGGGCTTAAGTTCGAAAATGCGCAATATGTTGATAAAATAAAAGAATCGGGGTTATTTTAAAACTCTTTTATCAGGAAACTGGTCTATAAATTTAAAATTGAATGACCACATGGTTCAGTTTAACTGCATGCACATCATAGGGGTTAAGATGATCAATTTCTGTCACTAATAACTGCCATGTAACCGGTGTCTAAAATGTTCTGTAAACGTGATAACCTCACAGAGGCACCACTAAAGTTAAAAACGTCGAGGTTCGCCATGCGTTTGAAAAGGGACGTCACTCTAAACACCCAAACATTAAATCCAATTTTAAGCCCATGAGCTTAAATACGAAAAATAACATATTTTAGCCAATGGGCTAAATTTCGCGTGGGCCTAAATATGGGAACAATTGGTAACAATTATCACTGCTGTTGCTTGCTATGGCGGCAAGAGCGATAAGAGATGATTTTGTTTGTCTTCGTGACTAATTAAACACTTGCACATTTACTTGAAACTGTACCTGTGAAAATCCGGGTTAGAATATTGATCTTCAGTAACCCATGCTTGTTGTAAGAGGCGACTAACGGGTTGTGGCCGTCAGGCTCACTGACTTGGAAGACACATGTCATCGGTTCCCAACTGCGTAGATCGATGCTCATGATGTTGATCACTGGGCTTTCTTGTCCAGAGTCGATTATTTACAGACCGCCGCCAGATAGCTGGAATATTGCTGAGTGCGGTATTAAACAACAAACAAACAAACAAACCAGACCGAGGCTCTACCCACAATGCCTTTCTACATATTTGAAGAGACATTTAGCTGACCTTTGAGACGTTTATCCGCAGACTTTGCAACCAGTACAATTTACCTGGAAATTTCACTGTACCCGTCTAACCTAGCATCAATTAAATTGGCAGTACATTCGGTTCCCAGATATGAATCCCAGATGTAAATCACAGTTGCGACATCCTAGTTTAGAAATGCAAGCAGATTCGGAACGATACCTTTTCAGAATGCGTGATCATATAGAATCAATACCCGCCATTAACAGAGAAACGATATTTGTATAGAATCGGGGATTCAGTCAGGTGCATGTTTTCCTTGGAAATTGCATTTGCGTCAAGATGTCGGAAAGCTAGCGGCAATGTGATACCCCACGTGTATAATTATATCCGGTTGATTTGATGGATACTCGCTGAAATTCCCGATACCCTGGTTAGGGCGTATTGAATTTCCGATATCTCCGAGACACCACGGGCGGTGGGGTAGCCTAGTGTTCGCTATTCACGCCAAAGGCCCGGGTTCGATTCCCCACATGGGTACAATATGTGAAGCCCATTTCTGGTGTCCCCCGCCGTGATATTGCGGGAATATTGCTAAAAGCGGCGTAAAACTAAACTCACTCACTCACTCACTCCGAGCCATCACTATCCAGTAACACTTCTCTATCAGGAGATGGGGTAGTCCTGAGGTTAAGGTGTTCGCTCGTCACGCCACAAATCCAGGTTTGACTGGCACGATCGATGCTATGATCGAAGTATTTTCATGGTTTCCTCCACTTATATATTGCTGGAATATTTATGCAAATGGCCGGAAAAAACATACTCCATAAGTCACAACCTAACGAATTCCTGAAACCAGAGCTATCTTACACTATTTCAACTCACTCACTCACTCACGAAAACTCAATCACCCAAACTCTCTCAACTAAACTCACTCACTCACGAATGTGTCGTAGCTATGATGCTGGAACCCAGCATTTATGCATTCCATTTTTATATATTTCAAAGTTTGCATTCAAGAAAACCAGACTTCCTTAAAACTTAAAAGGTCGCTGTAATCTATACCCATGTGATCTGTTTTTTCATGTGTTTTAAGTGCTTCATAAACATAAACGAAATATATTCTGTCAGTTCGTGATTGATTATACGTTCAAATAACTGAAATGCATGTTTACTTGGCATCATCTTGGTGTCATGTTTTCAAAGCTTTGATAAGATCAAGAAGAACTTGGGTAGGAGTCAAAGTGAAATAACGTTTATGTGGCTTAATGGTATGGTGAGTTGTCAGTCATGTTAGAATCTATTTGCAAAGTGCATGATAGCGGTATAGTGACACAACATATACATAATGTATTATAAATATGTTGCCTATGTGTTGAGTGGGAGAGTGTGGTTTATACGCCGCTTTTAGCATTGTTCCAGTAAAATCACAGCGGGAGACACAAGAAATGGGCTTCACACATTGTACCCATGTAGTGAACCGAACCAGGTCTTCGCCATAATGAGAGAAGGCTTTAACCACTAGGCTACCCACCGCCCTTATTGGGTTGAGAACAGGGGACGCCTTGAATGATAAACTATATCTGTTAAGCGATGAAGTGGCTCCCATGCACCGACGTTGTTCTTGCTGATGATCATTTTTTTATCAGGCCAAATGGTTCCCCTACATATATATACAATGCGCAACTGACAACAAAATTTGTTCATATGGATTTTGCGCCAGTTCGTATAAATCCACTAGTATTACGTCTATGAAAACCGAGGGGCGGTGGGGTAGCCTAGTGGTTAAAGCGTTCGCTCGTCACGCCGAAGACCCGGGTTCGATTCCCCACATGGGCACAATGTGTGAAGCCCATTTGTGGTGTCCCCCGCCGTGATATTGGTGGAATATTGCTAAAAACGGCGTAAAACCATACTCACTCACTCACTCACTATGAAAACCGAGAAAGGGATTCACACACTCTATTTTAAAATTCTAACCTATGTCTTCGGCGAACCGAGGAAGTGCGTCAACAACTTGGCCCTCCATATATCTACATCAATGCTTCACAAACTGACATAATATGGCTGTTATATTGCTCTTTGTCTTATACAGCAAATCACTGGTCCTTCCGTTATTCGAGACTGTCCTCCACGTCCAGTGAACGTGTAAACCTTGTAATCAGTTTGTCGTCGTCGTCGTCGTTGTTGTTAGTGGTGGTGGTTGCAAAGACAATCAAGTGATTAGGAGCATGAACATCCACGCAATATAATAGCGACAACATGCATCTCAAAACATCTGGCTAGTCACCGAGCATGGATTCTCGAAGACCATACCATTGAAGATACGGTATACAATTTGTTTCCAGCAACCCATGCTTCTCACAAGATGCATGCCATTGTATCCCAGTTGCGTAGATCGATGATTGACTCCAATCACTGGATTGACTTGTTTTATTTACAATCCGACATCATATAGAATTAACTGGGATATTGCTGAGTGCTGCTTTATTCAGCAAACAAACAAAATGCTGGATACAGGGATCTTCACGAGGTCCTTGTGATCAGTAAAAGTGCAAACCTTAAGCATGACATCTATTTAAAAAAGCATGTTTGTCCACAGGGCCTTCTTGTAATGACGTGTGTCTGTCTACGGGCCGGCTGGCCGGGAAGTGGGGAATCCCCCTTGTCAGTTTCGGCTGTGAGAGTGACGTGCTGTCAAATAAGGAACACTATCCAACCTTCCTCAGGACCACGGGCACGTATACAGGCATGTCGACGTTCCTGTTGGAGACGATGCTCCATTTCAGTTGGTCAAGACTGACCCTGGTCAGCGGCCAGGAGAGCGTCTGGGTGGAGGCAGTAGCCGAATTCGAGGTAGGTATGAACCTTTGTTATCGAATCATTAATAATCATGAATACACATTTATATAATAACATCCAGACCTACATATAAATACTCACGCCGTTCTATTATTGATACTCCGGTTAATGGCTCAAACACACTCAAACTGCAATCTCAGCTTCCTTAGAAATATACAACCTACGATAAGGTTGGGTGTAGAAGGTCTTGCACTCAAACTGTCATGTCATCTCGATATGATGCACTGAGGCCTATTTTGACGTGATGCCACACATGGTATATAACCAGTGATTTCTTGTGGGATCAGTGAAGATCCGGATTAGGAACCCATGCTTGTCGTATGATCCGACTAACTATCGACTGGTCAGGCGTGCCGACTTGTTTGTCAGACGCCATCGTGTCTAAATTGTGCATATTGTATTATCGCAATCTGGATTTTCTTGAATGAATTTAATTGATGACAGACCGTTAAACAACCTCAAACAGTGTCAGGTAGGACTGAGGAACCAGAAGGTTACCACAGGGTCAAGTATATCACATAGGGTCTGCTTATGCGTTACAACCGCTTCCCAGCACCAGTAACATATACACGTGTTAAACTCTTGCTGCGAATCAGGGTTGAATAACTCACTTCTGTCCTCTGTCAACTAAAACGTGGATTGGTTGTCTGTTTTGTGATCTGTCTGATATATGTGTCACCTTACACCACAGATACTTCTTCGTATAACAACATCTCGACTTTCGAGTCGAGTATTGCTCGCAATGGTGTCAGGGGCTGGATGGTTTCAGCATGTGTATGTTGTCGGCTGCATGGGTCGACTTTGTTTATTTGTTTGTTGTTTAACGCCGCACTCAGCAATATTCCAGCTATATGACGACAATCTGTCAATAATCGAGTGTTGTCCTGACAACCCAATCATTAACAACATGAGCATCGACCTTTGTAATCAGGACACGATGACATGTGCCAAGTCAGCGAGTCTGACCACCCGATCCCGCTAGTCTCCTCTTACGACAAGCATGAGTTCAATTCTAATCAGGATCGTCACGGGTATGTTACGTTCTTTAGTCCCCCATAAACCTTTCGTATCTTTAAGAGATTTTGAGAAGGCAGGCAGAGGCGCAGAATCTTTTTCCCTGTTGAATCAATTGTTTCTCTCCCGGATGGTCCCGGCGTGTCTTAACCGTGTTGTAAAATATTTGGACTGACTGACTGACTGAGTTTGGTATTACGCCGCTTTTAGCAATATTCCAGCAACATCACGGCGGGGGACACCAGAAATGGGCTTCTCACATTATATCCATGTGGGGATTCGAACCCGGGTCTTCGGCGTTACGAGCCAACGCTTTAACCATTAGGCTACCCCACCGCCCCTAAAATATTTGGAAACATTGATAACACCAGTTATATCTGATGTCATGGCTCTCATCACCCAATAGGCACACGTTATGTCCATGTAAACTAACATCTTCCCATAGCCTTGCCAAACGCAAACAGAAGCAAATTATTTGTGTCTCGACAATTACGTCGAAACATGCACACCTACGTCAACAGTGGTGAAAAAACCCAACTTTCCGTGATTTGTTTTCAATTGTCATTTTCGTATTACCAACAGAACATCCGGGTCTTAATTCTGATCTGGGAACCGGCAATAAACCGTGGTCAGTCTGCACGGAGATTCCACCAAAGCAGTTGACCGTAAATGGGATCCATATTCCTGATTCTTTTGCACTTATGTCGTTCCAACAATTTACGAATGCGTAATTGGCGAATAAATCCGCAGAAGCGTTTACCTGGCTTTCTCTCCACGTAAAAGAGAACCACGGTAGAAATTGCTTCCGCAATCAAATATGGCGCTAGTATTAGGCTGTGATGCGTCCTGTACAAATTGAACGGTTGTTTAATCAGTCGTTACAGGGAAGGCAGAATGAAAGCAAAGGTATATATTACAATGAAGTTATTAGCCAGGTAAAGACAATGTGATTAATACTAAGTGCTGGACCGGTCGCTTCTGTAACCCGACATTTCAGTGATGGATGACAGCGCAACACGACACACACCATCGGTCCGCCAATACACCAAGAGCCTACAACAATGAACACGTATTGATAAATGCCTAAGTAAACACCTATTGGGACTATTTCTGACCATCATCAATCATAAATTGTTTCCAGGGTACCACTGACTATGACGCGTGTACAGATGAACTATCTGTCTAAAAGATAAAGAAGGGTCATGAAGACTTGTACCGTGTGTGTCAATTTTCGGTACTGTTTGACCAGCTGACTGTACAATTATCTATGTAACGGGATCTGATATTTGGTTTCCTCTTGAAGGTGCTTAATATTTATAGGTGATTAATGACGGTAATTCAAGAGCTTTTCAAAACAAATATGGCAATCAAACCACGACCAAATCCTCGAGAATCTGATGCAGTAAACTACGGTTGTAACGAACTCAAAGGAACTACTGATTTCCGTTCATTATACGCATGTATAGAATTAATAGAACAAATGGTGCGAACAAACCCAGTTCGTGTCCGTGAGTTTGTTGTACACGTGTTCGTTATTTCCGTAGTTTACTTATATGATTTACCCGTTTTGCTTTATAGGTGCGAGTTACACATTACACTTATTTACACATTACACTTATTTTACTGAAAACAACGCTTACGATAGAGCTATCAAATTGGTGCTAGTAAAATATGATAACAACGCAACAAAATTCCATAGGTACCTCCTTAAACCGATAACTTCCCTTTTAGGGATGATTTTAGAGGGAACCCTTTTTTGTCCAAGGTGTTTTCTGAGTCTTGTTCCGGTCTGTTTCATCTGATTGTTGGTTACGGTGGTTCATTGTAAACATTAGTCTGTGATTCTTCTTACTTTCTACAATGGAACATTTTGGTGTTCACTTATGTACAGTGTTAGCTTGAATTTAACAGAAAATGCGTAATTTATTTTATCATAATCAGGATGAGGCAAAGGAAAACTATCAGCAGCTGAAAGCTAAAAGTGCATGTGTACTGAATACTATAACTGAAATCAACATTAATAATATATGCTAAAAACTATTCCATAATCACGTGAGATTATAATCAGGATGAGGCAAAGGAAAACTATCAGCAGCTGAAAGCTAAAAGTGCATGTGTACTGAATACTATAACTGAAATCAACATTAATAATATATGCTAAAAACTATTCCATAATCACGTGAGATCGCTGCTAAAAGCAGAGGCTATTCTGCCCGGCTATAGCAGGGGCATGTGCTTTATTATTACTCTCAAATTGTGACAATGCCAGGTGTTCGCAAAGATTATGAGCGTATCAAGCTCTATCGGTGGCAATCGTTACAAACACACGCAAGTGCAAGTCAATTGTCCGACTGAAAGCCAAACTCTGGAACGTATTGTAGCAGTTGTATTGGAAATCATTTTGGGCACTGATGCTTCACATTTGGAATGTCCTCCACATGCCTATCATAAAAATGTTAATGTGCTTTTGTACACCTCTAGAAGTATCTGAAATAAGAATAATGTCTGTCGATAATAGAAGTAACTATTGTGTGATACCTCGGTGAAAATGGTCTAAAAATAATAAAGGACTAAGTACGCATCCCTGACGGAAACTGCAAGTACTGTTGAATGAATATACAACCAACCTATCAATAAAATAGTATGAATAAACAGCAAGCGTGTACTTCACTAGTATGGAGCCACAGTGTGAGAAGCACTACAGAGACATAAATTTGAAGAAAGCTTAATTTCTCTGCAAATCAATTGCTTAAACCGAGATATGGACTCTACATTTCTAACGACATCGGGATGGGGTGTTGTGAAATGGGGATTACATAGCGTTCACGATTATTGCCCTCATACAGTGTAGTTGCCCCTGGTCGTGCAGGTTATATCGTGCTAGCCCACTGAGAGCCGACTAGTCTTTGTTTTACCTCCTTTGTTCAGAGCGCCAAGCACCGTAACAATTCGACAAGTACTAGAATCTGTACTTTACTGAGAAAGTGTAATCCCAAATATAACATGTGTTAAAGCAAATTAAACATAACATAACACGACCACCACGAACCTAGATCAGGCGTTACAATTTATTAGTTTGAACTTGTAGCAAACAAAAAATAACATGACCAACACGAAATTAAATCAGACGTTGAAACAACATGAACCTACACCACGTAAATCGATATTTTAAAACAAAGCGTCACATGTCATTTTGTTATTGTACACATTCCTCTGTAACCTGTCATTAAGATAAGGAAATGACTTATTTGCCAGTCCATTTCATTATGAAATAAATATCCTTAGAAACACAACATTTCTATTGTTAAAATAATCATATCAAGTTTCATCTGCCCCTTCTTACCGTTTATGCGACTGAACACACAATACAAACGGGTTCAATGTGAGATGAAATTAATGGATACAATATGCGTTAATTTGCCTTGACACTACACTATACAGTTAATGAACACTGATTCAGACTGATGTTATTGTTTGGTAGGTGGTGATCACACGTGTGTACTTAATCCTCAATGCATGCCACATTGTATCCAGTGGTGTTCACGCTAACTGTGAGAACTTACCTGTTACATTCACACCAACAAACACAATGAACTCATTAAGCCGAAGCATGGTCACTGCATTAGGGCAGATGCTGCAGGTGTTCCAGTTCCCCCAGTTCCCCTTACACGCATGTGCAACACGTGTATAATATCACATCAAGTTTCAGATACACTCAGACAACCATTGTCCGTTACTCTCTTTGTTTCATAATATGTATGCTTTGCATATTATTTTTAATGATTTAGAATTAAAAAATTTGTAACGGACAGTGTTATTGTGACAGAAAGCAGCCTTCTAAGAGAGGGACAGTGTGAGTGTAACATATGGAAATGCCGAATCAAGGATGAGGATGCTTGTGTATTTAATTTCTTCATCAATACGTGACTGGCAGATATTTCTTCAACCACAGCCCATGTGACTAATCTCGGATCAAAATT